AATGTGTGTAGTAGAGAGCTGTATGAATGTGTGTGTGTAGTAGAGAGCTGTATGAATGTGTGTGTAGTAGAGAGCTGTATTAATGTGTGTGTAGTAGAGAGCTGTATGAATGTGTGTGTAGTAGAGAGCTGTATGAATGTGTGTGTAGTAGAGAGCTGTATGAATGTGTGTGTAGTAGAGAGCTGTATGAAAGTGTGTGTAGGAGGTAAAAGGGGACACAGATTGTGTTGTAAAGAGCTTGGAGTATCTTCATTAGATAGAAAGGAGTTGTATAAGTACATTTCATTTACCATTTTCAGCCAATGATTTTTGTTCTGTGGTTCATGAGATATTTTGCTAACAGAGCTGAATCTAACCAGTTAATGGCAAACAAATATGAACATCCTGTTAACACTTAAAGTATGTCTTTATGCTACGTCTCAGCAAATGTCAGAACAATATGTGTAAAACTGATTGAGCTCTCTATATATTTGTGTTTTGAACGTCAGTTGGCTGTGGCGGCCATCTTGAATTGGGCTGACTCTGAAGGTGGGTCAGTGGTAGAATATCCAATTATTATTTCATTAAACTCCATCCAGGGCTTCATTAGATATTTTGCTCAAGCAAAACATACAAAAAAAGCACACAAACAAATAAAACGTTGTTGGTCTTTGGTGGCAGGTGATAGATGTTTTTCCACACTTCTTATGGTTTTATTTTTCTGTACTTTATTAGCAACTACATCTACATTCTTTGCTCCATTTAAGCTGTTTGTATCTCCAAACGTTCAGCAACAGAGACGGGTGCTGTGACTTTAGCTTTATGTGACTTTAAAACTTCAAAACATTTAACTTTGACTTTTTTAGTCTTTCATTTGGCTAAACTGAGCTTTCAGTTAGCCCTTTGCTTCTTTTAGCTTCTAGCTAGCCTTTGCATAACTTCATCTAGATTTTTAGTACTTTTAGCGTTTAGGTAACCCTTCACAGTTTTTCGCTAGAATTTTGCTACTTTGGCCTTTTTGCAACGTTGGTAAATATTAGCTTCTAGCTAATCTTTTGCTACTTTTAGCTTTCAGCCAGTTTTTTGTTACTTTTATCATTGGGTGAGCATTTTGCTAGATTTAGCTTTTAGCCACTGCTTTGCTACGTTTGGCATTTAGTGTCTTAAACAAGTTTGACAAGTTTCTATCACGACTCCAGGTCATTACTTTGAGATTGATGCGATCAAGTAGTTCCTCCACAGATGTGGGTTTGGGTTGCCGGGCCTTTCTCCTCCTTCGGGTCTTTTTCGGCTTCGCTTCTTCGTTCAACACGTCCACGTAGATGAACTTGAAGGTGCCGACTTTACCGTTGAGCATGCCCATCCACGTCCCCATCGGGGGCTTACTGATGATATCGATGACATCTCCGCTCTGCAGAAAGAGGCCGGTGAAGCTCGAGAGACTTTGAGAACTTTTGCCGTTCTTGTGAGGTTTACCGCGGCTCACCTTCAGCTTGAGGGAGTCCGTGTCGTACGGACTTGGAGTGAAGTCGGTGTGAACCAGAGCACGTCCACAGAACGGCCCACGGTAAGGCACCTCATCTTCCTCTCCATCCTCGGACTTCACGCTCTCTCTGTTGCTGTTGGAGGAGTCGGTGGTGCCGACGGTCTGACCACCTACAAAAAACACAAACGCCAGGATCACGAGCTGCCACCGTTCAGATGATTGAAACCACTTCAAGCACCTGTAGGACACACAACAAACCAACGTTCCCATCAGGAAACCTGCCAACGTACTCATGGAACTCTGACCGCTGAGAGAACTCTTCAGGCTTTCCACAGACCCTCCTGGCTTCAGCTTGGGCTTCTCCAAAGAGTCGGAGTCCGTCTGAGGTGAGTGGGGGCAGCTGCAACATCGGTCTGGACTCAACTGGGATGCAGCAGCAAAATGAAACAATTTCACAACAATTTGTAAATTGACCTCACTTAATTATTTCCCTAAAGTACCTGCTCAGAGAGAGAAGAGTGATATCTCTTGGAAATGTGTTTCCTCATCGTTTCCCTCACAGACTTGACCTTTTTGCCCAAAGAAATCCGTGATGTTGGTGGAGACTTAACCTCGTCTGTCACACCACTCTCTCCATCTTTAGTCTATTTGAACATGAAGTAAGAAAAAACTCAGGTACAGCAGAAATAAAAATAAAAGTCAATAATTATTTTCAGATGATTGTTTTTAATAGAATAGTCGTTTCATACCGTGTTATCTTTGTCAGAAGATACTGAGCGGCTGGTGAGGTCAAATCCTCCAAAGCTGCAAGCTCTCTGTGAATAAATGAAAACCTCTGATGGTTTAGATTCAGGTCTCCAGATGGCAGGTCACAGTCCAGATCTGGACACCAACAATGGATCGATTGTAAAATTCAGCAGAACTAAAAAAAAAAACACCCTTGTCTAGCATGTAAGTAAGACAGCCCATGTTTTCTAGCATTTACAGTAAATACTTTTGGCGAGGCAATGCCTGGTCGTCAAGCCTTGGCTCCTGGGGCTTGGCCGGGCCAAGCCAGGAGATGAGACAGGGTGCTACCTTCATATGGGCCCACCAACTGTGAGGAGGAGCATCGAGGTTGGGTGCTGGGTGTCATACAAGCCAGGCGGCAAGCGAGGGTCCCTAGTGCCAACTCCTGGTAGTATAAACTAGCTCTGGGGACGGGGGATGTCACCTCATTGGCCGGAGCTCATGCGTGAGGTTGAACGATACCAACTAAAGTTGGACTCACCTCTATGCACAGCTGGGGTGCTGGAACACAAATCCTGGAGAGAGGCTGGATTCCTTCCTACCCTGGCCAAGGTCAAGGTTCTTTATTATCATTCTCATCACATGTGGTACATGTGGCAGAACAAAATTGTGTACACAGGGTCCCAGTTACATCCAGCAAAAATATAAAACGTAAAGAAAAAACATAGGATGTAAGATATGAACTAAGAAATATGCTCAACTACGAGTGCACTAAACACTAGTAGTACAAAAACAATACGCCGAGCAACAGCAGCACGAACATGAGTCTGTGTGAGCAGATGAGCACGAATGAACAGCAACATGAAACAGATCAGCAGCAACATGAAACAGATCAGCAGCAACTTGAAACAGATCAGCAGCAACTTGAAACAGATCAGCAGCAACATGATGTGATTCTTCACAGTGATTATTCTGGTTAGAGATTCATGAGTCTAACAGCCTCAGGGTAGAAGCTGTTCCTCAGTCTAGTGGTTCTACACTTAATACTCTTTAACCTCCTTCCTGAGGGGAGTGGGGCAAAAAGTGTGTGTGCTGGGTGAGTGAGGTCCTTCATGATGCAGGTGGTCCTCTTCCTGCATCTGGAGGTGTAGATGTCTGTGATGGTGGGGAGACTGACTCCAACATCTTCTGTGCAGCCTTCACCACTCTCTGCAAAGCTTTTCTTTCTGCAGCTGTGCAGCCTCCATGCCACATGTTGATGCTACTTAGTACTGATGCTACTTGGTACTGATGTACTTGGTACTGATGTACTTGGTACTGATGTACTTGGTACTGATGTACTTGGTACCAGGCCTCTGTAAGCCAAAGGTTGTTGATTGACTTTGTAATCATGTCATCAGACCTGTGGACCTGTTTCCTGGATACTTGGGTGAAGTGACAGGCAGAGCTGTTACCACCTGGTGGTGAGTTAGTTAACATGGGGGGGAAGGCTGCTGGACATTCGTTCGTCTGTCCGTCCGTCCGTCCGTCCGTCCATCCGTCCGTCCGTCCGTCCGTCCATTTTCTTCCACTTATTCCAAAGTCAGGTCTCGTGGGCAGCAGCTTGAGCAGGGAGGTCCAGACATCTCTTTCCACAGCGACCTCTTCCAGCTCTTCTGGGAGGACTCCAAGGTCCCAGGACAACTGAGAGACGTAGTCTCTCAGTTGTCCTGGGTCTTTCCCGGGGTCTCCGCCCAGTCAGACATGCCCAAAGCACCTCAGCTGGCTCCTCTCGATGTGGAGGAGCAGAGGTTCTACTCCGAGTCTCTCCTGATAACTGAACTTCTCAGCCTGTCTCTAAGGGAGAGTCCAGCTCTGCAGAGGAAACTCAATTTCAGCCTCCTGGATCCACAATCTCATTCTTTCAGTCTCTACCCAGAGTTCAGGACCACAGGTGAGGGAGGAACGTAGACTGACCAGTAAACAGAGAGCTTTGTCTTACAGCTCAGCTCCCTCTTCAGCAGACAGTCCTGGTAAACCCAAACACATTGTGAGAGTGAACTGGGATTGTCTGGTGGAGCCCCCTCTCTGTGCAATCACAACCTCTGGGAAAGTTTTTCTCATGTCCCTGAGGAGATCATGGACATGGACTCTGAACGGGCCACGTTCAAGACTTCTGTTGTAAAATTCCGGTTTCAGGAGGTCTAGCAGGTGACGGGTACGGGGTGACCAGAACGACTGTGGTGGTTTCTGTGGTTGCAAAAGCAAAAACTCGAGCGTGGGAAGAGCTCAAGGAATTAGTGGAACAGTGGACCTGCATTTAAATAATTCATTTTAGGAGACGCACCTTTTGTAGCGTTAAGTCATTCTCTGCAGACAGACATTCCACACTTAACTTATTTCATGTTTAGGCAGCACAACCTTTTTAGTTGTTGTGGTAATTTGTTTTAGGTGATGCAACTTTTTTTTTTAGCATTTACAGTATTTCCCACATCTGGCCTGCAGTTTGTCTCTGGTTCTTTCTGCAGAAACACGCTGCCAGCCCACAGAGAGGTACAGGCCTAAAAACAACAATAATATGAGTGGAGAAAAGTAGCAAGTCTGTCACGAAAAGAGAACATGAATAAATATATATTTTGCACGTTTCCATAGAAAAAGGTGGATCTTGGTGAATTTCAATTGAAAACCTGATTTAGAAGGTACATCTAAACACTTGCTGCAGAAACAAGTCCTGACTTTTGTTTATGTGCACCTTTTGTTTGGAGATATATTTACATAAACAGAATCCAGCTGTTGAGCAGAAAATAACTGGTTTATGATAGAAAACGTGGCAGACGGCTGCTATGACTGACTACATAAACAGACAGTAAGGCCCCGGCTTCATATAATGTGACCTCAGTGTATCCTGAAGTACAAAACAACATATCGTTCTATACTCACCCCGTGGAGACTAAGTGAGCCCAGCACTCGGTGCCGGAGCGCTTCGTCAGTTTGTGAGCGCACAAGTTTGGGTTCCTCCTCGGTGCGATCCATTTCAGAAAAAGAGCCCCCGCCTGCCGCCCTCACCTCCCCAGCTACAACAGCCTCTTGGTTAACGGGTCTCCTGCTGGACTTGCCGAAGCTCTGGGTTTGGCTGCTGCAGGTGTCCACGCTGCTGGATGACGGGGAGGAGGCGAGGCTGTCCGAGTCCCTGTCAGGGACGAGCGGTTTCTGAGGAGACGAGGCTGAAGAGTCGACCAAAGGGTTCCTCTGTCCGCCTGAACCCGGGGACCTGCTGGCGTCCCTCAGGTTCTCTGTGTGGGTGAAAAAGGACGATGTCAAAGATCCAACGTTGAAGAAATGCATTTCACCCGCCGCCTTTCATCTCACAGATTTCAACTAAAACCATTTCAAGGTAACAGACCCTGAGTATGCTCAATAATCCAGGTAGGAAAATCTAACAAAGTTAAGTCAGGTCCTCTGGACGGATCAAAACAAATAATAAATAAATAAATAAATAAATAAATAAATAAAATAAGATTAAATATAAAAAAATTGAAATAAAAACCCCAACTGCATAAAGACTATTATTTTTTTTTTTTATAGTTATCTTTATTTTTTTGAATCTGTCCAGAGGACGTGACTTTGTTAGATAACAGATAGTTACAGCTGTTTTGGTCAAACTTTGAAAATAATGTTATTAGCATCGCCGCCGCAGCTTCTCGTTAAAAAACACGATAAAAGCCAAAACAACTTAGAGGCACAGTTAAAAACTGTCACTTCTAAACTTAAACTTAAAGTCACGGTGTAAATCCGGTCGTGCAGATAACGGGTTCTGTACCTTCCACTTCCGGCCTCTTAGCTTCATCCATCCTGATCAGCTTTCTTTTAGCTTTGCGGGTGGAGCTGACGAGTTTGTGAAGTCTTTTAAACGTCACGGATTCCTCCTCGTTGTCGGACGGGTCGCCGGGCTGAAGGGAGAAACAACGAGGATCCGTTTTTACTGAAAACATGTTCTTTGTTTTGTTGTTTTCAGTTTCTTCTGTATGTTTTAGACAATTAAACGACTTCAAAAGATTCTACTTTGGGCTATTTTAACCATTCATGTGTTAAAACATTTGTCTCTGTTGGAAATAGTTAACTGTGACTTTTATTCTTTAAAAATAACTTCATATAGAAAAACATTTTATTCTCCTCACCTCCTTGTAAAATCTGCTTCTTTATTTGTGTCTTCTTATGCTGCTTTTAGCACGTAGCTACTGTTACTTTTAGCCTTTAGCTACCACTTTGCTACATTTAGCTTTTAGCAAAAAAATTAGCTTGAAGTTATTATTTAGCTTTTATTTGAGCGTTTAGCAACGTTTTTTAGTACGTTATTTTTTTCAGTTTCTAAATGCATTTACACTTTTAGTCATTTTAATTTTTAGATAATGCTTTACTACTCTATCAAATCAGCTTTTAGATAATGTTTTGCTAGTTTTAGCTTCTGTTCGGCTTGTTTTAACAACTGTTTCAGCTTCTCCAACACATTCCAGTCGGCCTCATAAACATCTTCAGTTTGTGAAAAAGTAAACAAAAAATTAGCAAATGATTTTAGTAATGATTAAAGTTATGCTAAACTAGTACAGACAGAATTATTCATACTCTTCATGAGATTAATAATTATAAGAATTAAAGTTGTGTTTCAAACTAAATGTTTGTCCTTATTTAGAATCACAAGGTTTTCAGCAGCTCTTTAGCTCTTCAGCTATTTAAAGGGAATAAACGACCACCGGGTAGTTTGGTGTCGCTCTGTGCAAAACTGTATCTAACTTTAAATAATTACAGCTAAACTGCAGCTAAAAATCAGCAAAATTGTAGATAAAAGCTGTAATATGCAAAACCACAGCTAAAAACTAAAAAAAAAAAAACTACACAAGCTCAAATTAGAACAGCTTTAACAGCTAAAATCAATACAACCATAGCTAAAAGCTAAAATGAGTAAAACTTTAGCTAAAAGTTCTAATTAGTATAGCTTTAACTAAAAGCTAAAATCAGCTAAACTCTAAATCAAGCGAACAGCTAAACTGCAACTAAAATCAGCAAACTTGTAGCTAAAAGCTATAATCTGCAAAACCACAGCTAAAAGCAAAATTTATTTTTTGAAGGAGCTGAATATATATTAATTTATTGCTGTAGATAAAATATTTGTAATTAATGTTAAATATTTAGAAAAATATAAAAAATACAAAACCAAACGTCATAACTTATCAAGATGAACACGTTGATATTTAAACGAGAACAAAGCAGAAGTTTGATTGAAAAATAAAGTAAGGAGGAAACGAACAAAAAGATCCTGACTCAGCATAAAACTCAACTTTAGAGAAACACGCAGGATGAATGTGAAAAATGTGCCCTGAACCTGAGCCCCCCATCACCCCACCCATAAAAGAGCTGTGCTGTGCATAGCAGGGGCCCCGAGCTGGATCCACCGCTCACCGCAGCACAATGGGGGGGGGGGGGGGGGGGGCGCTACCACTTTGACAACGATGAATAGAAGCCCCCGGTGCTCTGTGGGTGGGAGCGGGCCCTGAGCTGCACGGCTTTAGAGGGACCTCGGTTCACCGCCGGGACGGGGACAGAGCCAAACTGTCAACAGCTCAGCAGCCGTGGCACCTCTAAACCAGAGAGCCTCCATCACAACTCACAGCCGAAGTTTGTGCTTTGGCTGTGAGCAGGACGCCCTGACAGGTTTGACACTTACGCTGCAGCCGAACGGCTCGTGTGAGCAGGAACCGTAAGGATCCGGGGACTCTGTGAGATCCGATCGGACACTTTGCCTGTTGTGGATCTCAAACTCCTTCAGCTGTGAAAAGGATTAGCTTGTTAGAAGATGGAGCCTCGACACACACAAGCACAAACACTGTTGTCCACAATGACTGGCAGTCTGATCACAACGCTCCTAATTAATCTTATTTACTGTTTACAACAAAACAATCTGGCTTCCAGAGCTTCGTACTCGTGCAAGGGCTTCTTCTATAGAGATCATGTTCTCCTTCACCATCATCATCAGCTGAATACGCTCTTCATCACCCATGGTGATTTCACTGGCCACAAAGCCGACATCGTCACCTGCAAAAAATCATCAACAAAAAGATGATTTATGTTTTTTGCATGTAAATATACTGTAACTCCAATGGAAAGTATTGGGACATGCGTCAAATGTCAATAAAGACCAAATTCAACAATTTGCAATAAACCCAGATTTAATTCCCATTGGAACACAGTAAAGATGTTTCATGTTTAAACTAAAGTTGTACCATTTTATAAAAACATAAAATAAGGTCATTTTAAATTTTATGGCAGCAACACATCTCAGATGTTAAGATGGGAGCGAAGGCTGTAAAAACAAGTGGTACGAATACAACAGCTGGAGGAACATTTAGGCAACTAACTAGAAGAACTGGTAACAGGCCAGTAAGTCAGTAAGAGGACTGGGCACAAAATAAAAATTCTCAGAAGGGCAGAGGTTCACCAGTCTGCCCAAAGCATCATTTAAAACTAGTAGAACTTTTTCAGAATGGTGAAAAATGGGAAGAGGTTGGGCAGGCATCACCTACAGATCACAGAACCAACAGATTTCAAGCTTCTATAAGAGTTCTGCACTAAAACCAGGTCTGGTTCAGGTTCTGTTCTGGGCTCAGGAACATTTCCACAGATCATTGTCTGTAAGCACAGTTCATCCACAGATGCTGCTCAAAGCTCTACCAGGTGAAGAAGAAGCCAGATGTGAACACCATCCAGAACCGCTGCCATGTTCTCTGGATCAGAGCTCACTTCAAATGGACTGAACTGTTCTGAGGTCAGACTGGTCCAAATGTGAAGTTCTGTTTGGAAACCAGAGACGCCAAGTCCTCCGTACTAAAGAGGAACAGGACTATCCAACCTGTTTTGCTGATGGTATGGGGGTGCATTAGTGTATCTGGCATGGACAGCTCAAACATCTGGAAAGACTCAATCAATGCAGAAAAGTATCCACAGGTTTTAGAACATCTGCTTCCATCCAGGTGCTGAACTGACCTGCCTGCATCCAGATGTTCAACGACTGAAAACATCTGATGCACCACGAAACAAAACATCCAGTAAAACATCCCAGGAGTGTAGAACAGAAGAAATCCTCCATCAGACCAGAACGGGACAACAGTCTCTCCAAAACCTCCAACCGCTGGTCTCCTCTGCAGGTCATGAACGTTTACAGACTGACGGTAAAAGAAAAGAGGTTTGTTCACAGAAAACGTTGACATGTTGCTGCCATCAAATTCAAAATTACCTCATTTTCCCAAAATATTGATAAAATTTCTTAGTTTGAACTTTTAATATGGTGGCACGGTGGATCAGTTAGTAGAGCTGTCGCCTCTTCTCGAGAAGGTCGCCGGATCAAATCATGACCGGGGGCCTTTCTGGGTGGAGTTCGCATGTTCTCTCCATGCTGCATGGGTTTCTCCGGGTACTTCGGTTTCCTCCCACACACCAAAAACATGCATGTTAGACTGATTGGTGGCTCTAAATTGTCTTGTTTGTCTCCACATGTCCTTGTGATGGACTGGAGACCTGTCCAGGTGTCCCTGTGATGAACTGGAGACCTGTCCAGGATGTCCCTGTGATGAACTGGAGACCTGTCCAGGTGTCCCTGTGATGAAATGGAGACCTGTCCAGGATGTCCCTGTGATGAACTGGAGACCTGTCCAGGATGTCCCTGTGATGGACTGGAGACCTGTCCAGGTGTCCCTGTGATGGACTTGAGACCTGTCCAGGATGTCCCCCGCCCCTCACACAGTGACTGCTGGACATGGGCACCAGTGACCCCCCGTGACCCAAAAAGGTTTACTGTGTTCTACATTTTTTGTTGATTTGCTTTGTTTTTGTTTTTTTTTGAATGTCCAGAGGACCAGATTTAACTTTTTTAGATTTTTCTACCTGGATTATTGAGCATGCATCAGGATGTTTACTGTGTTCCACTGTGAGTTTATGAGATTTGAATATAACTGAATTGTGTTTTTATTCACATTTTACACAAGTTCCAAACTTTTAAAGAACTGTGGTTTTACAAGTTTCTGGTATTTATTTACCTTTGGAAGTTTGACGCATCACTCCTTTCTGAGACTTACAGAAACTTTGCCAGAAAGACTTGCTTTTTCTCTTTCCATCCCATTTACCTATGATGGCACATCGATTTATTTTAATGCACTAAGATTAATAAACCACACAAAAATGTGAAAAGTTAAAATTCTTATGCTTTAATTTAAGTAAAGACATGAAATGTGTACTAAACAAACCCGTCAGTAGGATTGCACTCGACTTACCTCCTGATCCATCGTCTGAGCTGGATTTGTGCATGGGAAGCCTAAAACACAAACAGGATCTTAACTTTAATAAAACATTAACCCACTGAATTAAAGCAGTCCCTGTTGTTCCAAGCTATTCTCTTCGTTTTCTCTGCTCTCCCTCCTCATCTCGTTGTAGCTTACCAACAGGGGCGATGCTAAGATCTGACCTTTAACGGTGCTTAGCCCCCACGATGGCTCTTGGCTTGAACAACGCACCCCATGGTGAGAAGCTTACAGCACCTAGTATTAGACCAGGTGGTCTCCCATCCAGGTACTAACCAGGCCCGACACGGCAGAGCTTCAGAGATCGGGCGTGTTCAGGGTGGTCTGGTCGTAAACGAGGAGTTTACTCGTATGGGAGATTTATTTATGACAGGAAACATCTCCGTTTAGCTCGTGCTCTGCTTCTTTTATCTTTAACTCAGTTTCAGCTTCTTCATCTAGTTTCAGCAGAACCATTCAGCATTCAGATGCATTTTTGCAGAAAATGCAATTTCTCCGGTTTGTCTCGGTGTTATAATGTCAAAGGCTTATTGTGTTCTCTGCTTGCCACAGGAAATGTCACGACACCGTTTAGTTTATAACTGCCTGAGAGAAAGACAACGTCGTAATAAATTTCATTTTAAAAGTCTGTCTTCAGTTGGGCAAGTAAATATAGAAACTCTTAATTTAAATATTCTTTCTGAAATGCTTCGGCTCTCCTAAAAATAACCTCTCTGGTTTCTGGTGTTACATGCAGCTGTGTGCTTGTAATCAGCTAAGGGGCAGCGTCCCCCCCCCCACGCTGATGACGCACGGGTTGCACACAGGAGCAGTTTCGTTTCTTGAAAGCACGTTTCTCTGACTCGTCCTATAAACAAACCCAATAAACGGAACATGCTGCTTTCTTAATACTCATCACCTAAACTCTTGGATCTCGTTCAGCTTCCAGTGACACAACATGAATAAAGTTTTTAAAAGAAACAATGGAGGGAAGGAAGGAAGTGTGAGGGTCACACAGAAATGCCTCATACGTGTGGCTCAAGGGCACAGGGAAGCAGAGGAAACGCACGTGTCCCCAGTGGTGACAGAGACAACACGTGGCACTGTCTGAGCGAACGAGCCTTCGATAAGTCAAACCTGCTCAGAGGAGAGTCTTGGTGATGTGCACCTTCACCGACCAGAGAAGACAGGAAGTCCTGGAAAGTTCCTGGAGAAACTTTGACGGGGACTGCCACGCTGCGGCCATTTTTACTTTTTGATTTGACAGTACTGTGTTGGGGTTCGCTCTCAGCTACCACTATACCAAATTACAGCTCAATGTAGCCAAACTTCAATGAGTTGTAGTATTTTTTAAGCCATGGTGGCCATCTTGGATTTTTGATTTGGACTCCGTTTGTGACGGGGAACGCTCTCAGCTATAAACACAACAAATTTCAGCTCTGTATGTGTAAAAACAACCGAGTAAAAGTAATTTAAATTTAGCTTTGGTGGCCATCTTAAATATTTTACTTGAATTCATTATTCATGGGGCATTGCTCTCAGCTACCACCACATCAAATTTTAGCATAAATCTCTAAAAATGTCTAATTTAAAGTTTGTTTTAATGAGAAAAATGGCATCTTTGTTTGCGAATGATGTCGCCATGGTAACTTGAAATGCCAATAAAAGTAAAAGCAAGTCACGGTGCCAAGACAGTCGTTGGGGGTACACGTTGCAGTTCGGGCCACATTAAAGATTAAGGAAGAGCAAGACCCTTTTCAGGTGGATAACAACAGGTGGTTGTCTTCAGGTAGTCTCCAATCAGCTGTTTTAGCTGCTAGCACACCAACGTTTAGCTCCTTGTCTGTTAAACTGGCATTTTTGTATTGGCTCATGCCAATTAGTTGTGGCGGGCATTTTAAATTGAGTTCACTCCAAAACCTAAACAAATGTAGATGCACATCCACTAATTGCTTTCTGGGGGTTTAATTGAAATCCAACCATTTGTGTCTAAGATATTTTGCTAACCCACAAATAAGGATTGTGTCAACAGTTAATGTCAAACATTTCACGCAGAATTAAAGCACAATGTGTAGCGCTTGATTTAAGTGTTGAGCTTAATGCTCAGCTACAACCGTTCCAGATTTCAGCTCCATATCTGTAAAAGTGGTAGATAAATAGCAGTTTTGTGTTTCCTGTGGTCACTTAGCTGTAGTGGCCATCTTGAATCAGGTTGACTCCAACACTGAAGCAGTTGTAGATGCACATCCAGAAATAACTTTTTTAAAGTTTCTTTTATGATCTGTCCAGTGGTTCATGAGACATTTTGCTAACAGACATACAAATACACATGCACGCAGACACAGTCGAAACTGATGGAGATGTGAAAGGTCACAGATGTTTTTCACTCGCTCCTGTGTGGCGTATTTATTTAATGAACTACTAAGGACAATATTAAATTATCCTAACAAAAACCTTATTGCTATTCACCTTCAGCCAAAGCATTTGAACGGGGGTCTGGGGGTCCGGGGGTCCGGGGGTCTGGGGGTCCGGGGGTCCGGGGGTCTGGGGGTCCGGGGGTCCGGGGGCTTGCTTCCCCAGAAACTTTTGAAAAAATCTATTCCAAACTTTTTACTTGTCAGCCATTTGATGTGCATTAAATTCTTAGGGTTAAATAAAACCCCATAAAATCAGTATATTAAATATTTATTGAAAGGTTGAGCTGATGCAAATTATTCTTGAAAACTGTTTTTTTTACACACTGAGCACCACAAGTTTGTCTGTGATGCATATTATAGTACTTTTATCACAACATATCCTTATGTACTGTAATAATAAAGCAGAGTACCCTGAAAATTCTACCAGATACACAGAACAAATACAAACAGAAAATACAAGCTGCCCTAAAACTCCACATCTGTGTCTCCAGACCTTGAGTCCAACATCTGCCCAGTAATGATGGCCACAGCAGTTACTCACTGTTCCTGGAACCTTTAGACGTTTCAGTTCCCCCACCAACACATTTTTATGACGTAAACTGGTACACCTAGCCAGCACTTGTCAAATGCAAGCCATTTGGGTGTCCCGCCCCTTCCTATGTGGGACGTGAGACAGTGGGACTGTGCCGCCCAAATCGGGACTGTTGGCAAGCATGCAATAAATACAACCCACCAGTTTCCTGCTTAAGATTTTTAAATAATTTTACCTTCTCTCTGGCTCTGGAGTAGATGTGGCACTGCTGAGTCCAAGAGACTCCTTGAAGACATCAAAACAATTCTGAATGTTACAACATGCAGTATTTACACCAGAATCAAGGCTTCAAAAACCCAAAGATGAAAGTGTAAAAGATAATACAAATGATAATAATAATAATATTAGAGCCCAACCGATATATCAGTAGTGCTGATGTAGACGTTTGGGGACGTATCGGTATCAGTGATAATTCTCCCATTAAGCACCGATATAAACACTTCTAATTTTCACCCCTAAAAATGGTGGAACCAGCTGTACTTGTACAAAGTATCCAGCAGAGGGCGCATAAAGACTACTTTCAAGTCATGGCCATTCACTTAAGTTTCACTTTCAGCACAGCCGAAGCAGGGAGCAATACTGTACTGAATACTCTGTACTGAACAGAGCATGATAAGTTTATTTTAACTGATCTGTAAAATAAAATAAATCATCAATAATAAATTATCTTCAGTCTTCCAACCCACTTGTCATTAGCTACGTGCCTCTCAAGTTAGCAAGCTAACGGGTAGATAACCTAGTATAGGCTATATTGCCTTGCATACATTATCCAGATCAATAAATGTAACGTAGAGGTAAAATATATCAGTGTTAATAACATTATCTTTGTCGTCCTCAATAAAATGAATTGTTTGTCTAAAATCTTTACTTCTCTGCAAAGAAAAATAAACTCTGCTGCGTTCAATAATAATTAAACCTTCACCATACGTGACTGACTGTTTAAACAATGAACAGGAAGGTGTTTCTTTGTTTAAGTTATATTTTTGTAACACACTTGATAACTTTATGGGAAGACTGTTTTTATGACCAGTGCTCCACTTGTAAACCTGCTGTGGGACTAAGTACAGCGTGGATCTGATTAGCTTAGTATAGCTTCAGGGTTGCTAACAGCTGTGCTAAATAAACAAGACCCGCCCCACTCGCTGTTTCTTAGATTTTTGGGGGGTGGACAAAGCTAATAAATTTTCAGTCATTATATCTGTTATCGGCAGCCGCCTGACCCTCCCAATACCGGTATCGGCAAAAGCCAAAATTTCCACATTGGCCGGGCTCTAAATAATGTTGTTTTTTTAAACAGTGAACCGGTTTGTGATGAAGACTCTGAAAGTGGTAATTCAGCAGCAGCTCTCTTATCTGTTGACATTTCACCTTGTTTTAATATTCATTCATTCCCCCGTCGAAGCTCAGCTTCAAGGGCAGTTTTCTGCCTCGCAGTGGGTCAGGCGATACTTTGTGGCTTCTTATCGAAGCTCTGCTGACGCACAGGAGAGGAAAAGTCCCCTCTCGGGGTCTGACACACTCCGAGCTGGACACTCACCTGGAGCTGCGAGCGGAGACACAGCGATGTGGCGGCTGAGTCAACCTTTCCCTGAAACGCAGAGGAAGTGAAGCAGTAAATCACAGGCTCATCATGAAATGACACCGAGTGTGAACTCCCAGGTGAAGTGTCGGTGTTACAGGATTATAGAGGTCCCAACACAAGAGAAGATTCATCTAAACATAAAGAGCAAGCTGAACCTCAAACGCCTGAAAATCATTCAGCTGAGTTTGGTGAAAAAATCAGTCCCATTCTTTTGTTTTTGTGGTGAAAGTGCCGCCCTGGAGAGACAAAACAATGTCCTAATTGTCTGAATGCCGAGTCAGCGTTCGCTCTGTTGCTTTCTGTTTACACGTGGGTTTTATGTGCTTTTTGGACTCTACTTCAGCATACTTTCAGCTCTTAACGTGTCTAGACATTCAGCTTATTTAGGACATTTCGGCTATGAGTTTTTTTTATATATAGCTTTTATAAATTTTTAAATATTTAACTTCATTTAAAATTTTTCTCTCAAAGAAAGGTTGAATCCTTCTAAACACTGTGGTCTTTAAAATCTACCGTATTTTCAGCCGTAAACGTAGCTCCGCCCTATAAGTCTCATCAGTCCAAATATGTCTAATAAAGTGAAAAAAACAAATACGTTGCTTCACCGTATACGTCGCATCCATTACGCGTCACCGCTGACGGGTTGCGTTTGTTACACGTCATGGCTGACAGTCTGGAAATGTGTGATGGTGTTGTGCCAACAATCAATTTGTTGCCAACAATCAATTTGTTGCCAACAATCAATTTGTTGCCAAATGGCGGCCGCGGGAGCATGCATGGGAGGACTTTAAAAAGATTATCACTTAAAAACAATTATTTGTTTGCTCCACATTATAGTAAAGGTGTGTCTCAGTTGAACTTTTACTTAACAAATGCACTTCAATGGTCACATTAGCTGCATTTTGCCGGGGCGGCGCAACAAAATGAAGCTGATTTGACGGTCGCTCCAGGCGAGCTGGACAAAGGTGGCAGGTTATGGCAAGCCAATTGTGTCATTAATAGCCACTTTTACCTATTAGATGACACAACAGCATGCCATACAGCTCGAGTGCCATCTAGCGGCTGAAAATGGTAGTGTTCAATATTTTCAGTCAGAATGAATGAAACCACTGTTCATCACACCAGAGCTTTAGACTAAAACATCTAGTCACACGAGATGTTGTGGAATGTGGTGGAGCTCTCAGTAGGTGTTGAGGACAATTCTCAGCTACTAAAAGAAGCAGTCTTTACCATCTCTTTGTCTTGGACTATTTTGCGTTTGCGTAGCTCCTCCATCCTTTCGCACACGTCGCTGAGGGAGGTGCCGTAATACTGAGAGTACTCCTGAGCCAGTTCATCAAGGTTCCCCACAGAGCCATCCTGCATGAGATAAAGACAACACATAAACTGACATGGCAGCAGAGATACAAAATAAACGTCCTGAAGAGAGTGAGCAAAGTGTCAAACAGCTGGTGACCTTTGCCAACAACGACCACGGTCATGATAAGCCATCTGTCACCACCACCAACAACACAAACAAACAGGAAACCCAAGAGGTAAGACCTGGGGGACATCCAGCTGGGATCCTTTCAGTCCTCAGCTGCTGATCTTCCTGCTCACTGATCCCTGCCACCTCCTCAGACCTGACCTCCCTCACGTGTGACGCAGCTACAGCTCTCGTTCTACTCGAGACTCGAGCTGAAGAGGCCACGGGTTCAGTCTGCCGTAAATCACAAGAAGCAGAAGCGCTCATTCGTATCGCCTTTTGTCCCGGCGCACACGGCACGTGTTCCTGGATGAATCCCCCCGTAGCTTCCTTCAATTGTACAAGTGACATGTTTTGTGGGTGGACAACAAATCACAGAATTTTGCTGAGTTTTAGACTAAACTTGAAGGTTAGGTCTACAAATGGTCAGAACATCCCAAACAAAGATGCTGTTTCCTGGGAATACGTGGTTTGTTACATCGACTCCAAGGGAAACCGGTGTTTTGTAGGAAATCACTGTAAAAGTAGCAGAAATGAATTACAGCGCATCAGTTCAGCATACTTTTACTAAAAGTGACTCAAGAAGAACACACTGGGAGCTAAAGTGTTTTGTGTCCTAAAAATCCAATTTTAGTTCAGAATCTGTAAAATTAGTTAGGTTTTAGTAATTTTTATGTGGCTATGGTTGATTATCAGTGGTGGCCATCTTGAATTGGGCCGACTCCAAAAGTCAATCAGTTTTAGATGGTAAATGGACTGTACTTCCTGTATATAGCACCTTTCTTTCATATCAAGATACTCAAAGCTCTTTACAACAATCTGTGCCTTCATTCACCCATTCATACATAGTCTGTACAAAGACTAATCAGAGCTTTAGATCACATTCATACACTGATGGAACACACATCGGAGGCAACGAGGGGTTCAGTGTCTTGCTCAGGGACACGTTCAGCATGTGGCTGCAGGTGGAATCGAACCCCCAACTCTTGTATTGTAGGACGACTGCTCTAACCACTCAGCCACAGCCGCCCAGTTTTAGATGCACATCCTATGTTTATTTTTTTAAGCTTCATTAAAATCTGTCTAAGCATTCATGAGATATTTTGCTAACAGACAGAGTTGACTATAAATGTTAACATATCTTCTATTAGCAGTTTTGGCACTTTGCCCCTGTCTCTACTCTTTGAATCTGCACCGCAGCCCACTGCCGGTACCAATCCCCACTCCGCCCAGTTTATGGGACCCTGTGTTCGAGGTTCCAAGCTAACCGCTCCAAGACAACGATTTTGATGCAAGCGGACAGCAGCTGTTGATTGGACAGTGGAGCTACGTCACTGAATGACCCGCCCAGTTAATTTGTTTTTTAAGTTCTCTAGTTTCTAGTTCAAAACTTTTCCTTCTTCTTTCGGCTGCTCCCTTCGTCAGGGGTTGCCTCGCACAAAGACTTGGCAGTTTTTTTTACGCCTGATGTCCTTCCTGACACAACCACAGACCACCGAGCTACCACAGCCTCTGTGTGGAGCAGAGAGCTGCATCTAGGGCGCCCCGGGGAGCAGATGGTGGGGGTTAAGGGCCTTGATCAAAGACCCAGCCAGAGTGAAGCAAATGAGGGTGGAGGCAGGCGTGGGTGTTTCACCTTTTCCACCCACATATCAATGATGTCGGTCTGGGGAGTTGAACCAGCGACCTTCCGATCACAGGCCCACCTTCTCTAACCTCTGCTCCACCACTCCCCCTATTTCTAATTCAGTGTGGAAGCTCCAAAAGTAGTGCCATGGGCCGGCGACCAGGTCCAGGCCTTTCTGTCTTCATTGGTGGATCAGAGGATTCAGCGCGAGCTGGACGGCACAAGAAACGAGCAAATCTACCAAGAGACATCGGCGATGATGGCGCAGCACGGCTGCATCCGGGCCTTTAAACGGTGTTGGGATAAACAAACAAACAAAAACAAAACAGAACTCAGATTACAGTAACGATGCCCGTCCACAGAACAGGGAAGAACCGATAAGATGAGAACTGACTCGAGTCCTACGTTATCGATGGCAAAGCGGCGTTAGAGCATGCCGTGGGCATGACTTTCAGCTACTACCTTACCAAACTTTAGCTCATATTCTGTAACTTATGATCATGATTATTATGGAAGTTTTAGATATTTTTGTGTTTGCTAAAATTGCTGTGGTGGCCATATTATGGGGCAGCACGGTGGCGCAACTGGTAGAGCTGCTGCCTCTCAGCGAGCAGGTCCTTGGTTCAAACCCCGGTCCAGGGGCCTTTCTGGGTGGAGTTTGCATGTTCTCTCCGTGCATGCGTGGGTTTTCTCCGGGTACTCCGGTTTCCTCCCACAGACCAAAAACATGCATGTTAGGCTGATTGGTAACTCTAAATTGTCCCTAGGTGTGAGTGAGAGAGTGAATGGTTGTTTGTCTCGTTTGTCTCTATGTGGCCCTGTGATGGACTTGCGACCCGTCCAGGGTGTACCCCGCCCCTCGCACAGTGATTGCTGGACGTGGGCACCAGCGACCCCCGTGACCCAAAAATGGAATAAGCGGGTAAAGAAAATGGATGGATGGATGGATGGCCATATTATGTGATTAACTTCCAAAATTATGTGCATCTAGTGACTACTTTCAAATAAAAAATAAAAATAAAACAAAAATATATTTTTTTATAAAGTAGATGCCATTTCCTGCATTCTGGTGTATTTTAGCAGGTTGTTAAACATCTACGTTTACCTACATAAGTAAACACGATTCAATAACTATTTTAAAGAGCAACAAGAAGTAGCCTGACCAACAGCTCTCCTTGTGTGAATAGAGCCTGCTCTGCTTCTCTCCCTTTCTCCTTGGGCATTTCTACTTGGCTCTGAGCAGTGCAGTGTGGTTGACTCTGAACTCTGTGCAAAACATTGGCAACTCTGAGTTGATTTCTGTTAACTTCTGTGAACAACTCTATTTTAGAAACCTTTTGTTTAGATGGGAAGTTTGGTAGGGGTTCTCTGCCATTTTATTTTTAACTAACTTTACTCCTGTTTTGTGGCCAGCCAGGGAGCCTAGGAATGGTAGTTTTAGTTTGGTTAGATAAGAGGTGATTTTGTCTTCTAGCCAGAAGGGGGCATTCTTTTGTTTGTTGTTTTGGCCTTGGAGACCCTGACGTTCATGGCTTCCCCTCTTGTCTCAAACTCTTACACAATTAAATTATTGTAATGCCAAGTTGGGTTGTTTTTGAGTTATTAGCTTTGTTTAGTTTACAATTTTTGTGTTACACCTTGCACCTCCTAGACTTATTCCAAGGGTTGTAACATAAGCAGTTATGAGTGCAGGCACAAGCACACGCTGCACCAGTAATAACCACCCACAGCGTTCTTTACCCCTCCATGGATTATAATCATCTCGATGCCTCGTTCATGCCAAACCCAGCAGTTATGCAAATGTGCTCACTGAGAAAAAGTAATGAATGCTATGTGCTCACTTGTCTCAAACCATGGCGATGTGTGACTGGCCCAACTGTCCAGAAGAGAAGCCCATTCATTTAGGATAACAACGTGCCCCCTGGTCGAGAACAGCCTGAAAAATCTGCTGCTTTTCATAATCTCACGAAACGAGGCTGAGCAACCAAGAAGCTCTGCACTGTGGCTGCCTGCAGCCGCTGTTGTGCCTCGGACTGCCACTGGTGCACATAAACGGCCCATTGTGAGACAGTCACATGACACCGCAGCACCCCCGGTGCTTCTGAGACGTGTTGAAAATGCTGTAGCTGTTTATGAGAACACTGTTTTAGAAACCATCAACTCCTCATTACGGTCATTTACATACAGACACAGAGACATCTGTTTGTACCCTGCTGGTAAAGAAAGAAAGCTTAAATCCTGCTGAACATCTGGAGGAGGAGCTCTTCAAACAGCTGGAGCAGTTTGAAGAGCTCAAAACATCATCAGTTTAATCAGGAGGAGTGGACCAGGACACCTGTGAACTGGTGGACCGGAACACCTGTGAACTGGTGGACCAGAACATCTGTGAACTGGTGGACCAGAACATCTGTGGACAGGTGGACCAGAACATCTGTGAACAGGTGGACCAGAACATTTGTGAACAGGTGAATCACATAAATCACTTAATTAACTCAAGACGTTAAGCAACAAAATATTACATTACACTTAATTCATCCATCCATCCATCATCTTTACCCGCTTATTCCATTTTGGGTCACGGGAGTCACTGGTGCCCATGTCCAGCAACTACTGTGTGAGAGGTGGGGTACACCCTGGACAGGTCTCCAGTCCATCACAGGGACACCCTGGACAGG